CGTACGAGGGCTGGTACTGCACGGCCGAGGAGTGCTTCGTGCCCGAGAGCCAGGTCGCCGAGCGCAGGGATGCCGAGGGACGCCTGCGCGCGGTGTGCGCGGAGAGCGGCCACCAGGTAACGGCACCGGCCCGGCCCGGGCGGCTGTTCCGCAGGAGCCCCGCGCGCTCTGGTGTGGCCCAATTTGGGGGCGTTCAGTGCTTCCTGTGGCCCTTTGTGGTCCCGTCAGCTGAGACTCGCCTGCATTTCATGGAACGACTCCGCGCTTCCAGTGGCGTCTGTCCGTGGAAGGCAGAGCTGCCCAAAGCCCCACCGGCCGATTTGAGCTGTGGGGGTGTGAAAGCAGCGGTGGAAGAAGTTAGCTGTGTGGGAGGGTACAGGTGTTCGTTGGGTGTCTGGAGTTTCGGACTTATCTCGTGGGGCGATTCCGTTCGGCCCCTGGATACTCTCCATTGATGGTGTTCCGTGGGTTTTGGCCCTCTGTGAAACACCATCACATCGTCTGCCTGGGCTCCAGCCTGATGACAGAACAGCAGCGTGAGCAGGAGCGTGGCACCCGACCCCGAGCCTCTGTGCCGCGGTGTGTTCCGTAAGGCGCCAGGAGTTACGAGGTTTCATCCAGCAGTTGCAGATAATCGTGCGTCAGGGATAAGTGGGGGTTGTGCTCTGGTGGCGTTTGTACCCAGCTGGGGTGTAGGAGCTGTAGTGCACGCAGAAAGGGGTGTGCTGGCAAGGAATATCTCTTGACAAAGCGCCTGACGGAGTCGGGGAGAAGATGAGTTTCCAGGCAAAGAAATCGTTCCTTAGATCTCAAACAGAGTCAGCAAGCTTCAAAGTCAAATATTCCCTGAGAGCAACTCCTGCCTTAGCTGCGTATCGGACCGTCCAGGAGAAAGGGTCGTGTGCGTGGTGCAGAGAAGGTCTTGCAAGGTGGTGGAGAGAGATGTGTCCTGGTGTTGGCAGAGCTTTTTTTTCTTTCCACCAGCCAGAAGGGCTTCGTGTTCTGGAGCAGCCAGAGGGCTCTGTGTTCTGGTTCCAGTCTGGGGTTTGCTCTGAGAAGAACGGTGACAGCGCACGGGTGTTTGTAGTTGGCACTGGGACATCCAGGACTTTGCAGCTGCAGTGGTTTTGCCACATGCAGGAGCACGACAGGCTGGGGGGGGCATGGCCGGGAGAAAGGGGCCACAACTGCCCCAAGGATCTGAGCTTGGGCTTAGGATCAAGGGCTGAGCTGGCCAGTGCAGCGTTCCGTATCGTGCAACATCGTGCGCGGTGTGGAGATGAGGGTCGAGCAGGAAGAAGGGCTTCTGCTCTCCTGGGAACTCCCTCCCAGGGGCTCTCGGACTCTCAGTGCTCTCCGTGCCTCTCGCTTGTCCAGGATTGCGGTGTCAGGACTTACCTCTTTCGGGATCGCTTACTGGGACGGGACAGGCGTTGGTCCCTGGGTGGTGAGCAATTACACTGTGCACCACTTGTTTGTGTATAATATTATCATGATACATACATATATATTAATTTATTATTATTTTCACATGTTCTTATCTCAACCCACGAGTCTCCTTCCCTTTTCCCCTTTCTCTTCCCCATTCCCAGAGGATGGGGAGGGTGAGCGAGCAGCTGTGTGGTGTTTAGTTGCCGGCCGGGCTAAACTACTACTACTACCACCACCACTACTACTACTACTGCTGCTGCTGCCTGTTTCTAATCTCTTTTTCCTTTTCCCACTGAAGGGCTTTCCGCTGGCCTGCCAGCCCCCTTTTCTGCAGGGCCTGGCTGACGGGTGGCTCAGCTCTTAGCGCTTGGCAGACGGTGTGAGGTGGGCTCGTCAGAGCCAAACACCAGGCTTGGTCGGCGTTTTGGAAGAAATGGCTGAAGGCCCCACTTTGGGATGGCTTTTGCATCCTGAGTTGTTACCAAAAGGATCACTGGGCTGTGTAAAAGGGAATATCAGATGGAGGACGTGGCGTTGGCTCTGTGTGAAGTGTTACTTCTGGACAGAGTGCTGAGAGCTGGTACCCAGAAACTAAAAGAGATTATGAAAATAATCCCTTAATAATAAACGAAATAATTAGGAAAAACATGAAGAATTGGAGGGGGAGGGGGGACAGGACACGGCACTGAAACGTCTTTGTGTAACTCGTTTATGATTTGCATAGGGAAGAATATTTCTTTTGGGGTGACCTTCTAATCAAGTAAGCAAAGGTGGTGTTTGCTACTGGCTGCTGCTGAAATTGGGTAAATTCAGTTACATCACAAAGCACTGCCGTACCACCGGGACTGGTTATTCCTGAGGTGTGCTGGGTTCTCTGCTTGTCCGGAGCGCCAGGCGCTTTCAGGCTCGCTCAGAAGTTGTTGGGTTCAGTGCCAGGGACTGAAACTCCCCTGCGTGACGCCAAAGCTGACAGTTTCTTATCGCAGGGCCTTATTTAGCCTTAAAAGTGAGAGTGCTTGACGTGGCCGCAGACCTCTTGAGTGCCTTTGCACAGCTCACTCCTACTGTCTCTGTCCACAAAGTTTTCATCCATTTGGCCAGATGTGTCACTTTGTAAATTTAAACGTGTGGGAGGAGCGCTCTTGGCACTTCAGCACGATGATGGGCTGGCAAAGTTAGCAACTGGGATGCAGTAATGCTTAAACGGGGAAAAAGAGGAACACAGAGCTGGGAGAAAGGCAAAGGCACGCACCAGGATGGGTAGTAAGGCAGTCAGTAACAATGTCATTCCGTCTTTCCGTGGTTTTCTACTATTACTGCAGAACTACGTGCCCAAGTCTTTGCACGTTGTCCCGGGGAGCCCAGGGAGGCGGTGTCTTAGGAGAGGAGCTGCCCACTAGTCCCAGAAGGATACCAGGGGCTCTGCGCATGGCGGGGAGCATGCCCAGACACCCAGGGAGCGTGCAACCAACTCCACGCTGAGCACGCTGCGTGCAAAGTGTAAAACTGTTTGCGGAGCGTTGGGGCTGTGATTCTTTTCTCTCCTGCCTTCGCAGGTGCACTGGACCAAGGAGGAGAATTACATGTTCAGGCTCTCGGCGTTCCAGGAGCCGTTGCAGAAGTGGCTCCGGGACAACCCACGCGCCGTCTCCCCTGACCCTTTCTACCAGCGTGTGCTCCGCTGGCTGGAAGAGGACTTGCCCGACTTGTCCGTCTCTCGTGAGAGAAGCCGGCTGCAGTGGGGCATCCCTGTCCCCAGTGACTCAACACAAACCATTTACGTGTGGGTGGATGCCTTGGTGAACTACCTGAGCGTGGTGGGCTACCCTGAGACCCACGACGAGTGGTGGCCCGCTGTGCACCACGTTGTGGGCAAGGACATCCTCAAGTTCCACGCTGTCTACTGGCCGGCGCTGCTGATGGCGGCAGGGCTGGCCCCCCCGGAGCGAATCCTGGTGCACTCCCACTGGACTGTCCGTGGGCAGAAGATGTCCAAAAGCCTGGGCAACGTGGTGGACCCTTTTGCTTGCGTCGGGCAGTTCACAGCAGACGGGTTTCGGTACTTCCTG